TTTTTTTTTTCTTTTTTCAAGATAGCTGAATAGACAGCTGAACACAGATGACTGGCTTTTTTTTTTTAAAATTTTCTTACCTTCTTATTTTCATACCTACAAAAGACAGTGGGTTTTTTTTAAGGAAAAAAAAAAGGTAGAGGAAAAAATATGCCAGATGAGGTTCTAGTATGTTAACGTGAAGGAAACTGCAACAAATATTGACATTTTGGCATTCACAACTTACTTTTACAGGGGTGTAAGTGGTGGAACGTGAACGTTCTTTCTCCTAGTGAAATATTCACTAAGAAGTGTAAATGAAGACCAAAGAGTTTTCTACATTAGCTTGCTCAAACGTCTGGATCTGTGTTGAAATAGGTTACCAACACGTGGATATCCTTCAGAGAAAAGAGCTCTTTCCCAGCCACACCAACCCCGCCACTCCCTGACATTCCACACAGTCCCACACCATCACGTGACGGACGGGAAGGACGCCTTAGGTGAACAGGTCCTGGCAGCTGCACGGGCGTCCCAAAAAACTGCCCGCAGCAGAGAGGCATGGAAGGGGGTCCTGCCGAGCTCGGAGCAGAGCTTCGCTGCGTTTCGGTTGGGTCCCTGCTCGGTGACGGGCGGGGCGCAGCGGGACCTAGTGGAGCGCGGCAGCGCACGCAGCTGCCAGGCCCTAGCCAGCACCTGCTGCGCATGCGCGACATGCGCTTCTCTCATCCGCCACGTCTTTCTCCTCATCCTTTTCATTATTTTTTTCCTTCTTTTCCTCTTTTTCCCGTCCCTGCTCCTCTGCCTCTATAGCCATGGGGAAGCTGAACGTGGTGATGCTGCGGTACCTGTCCCGGGAGCACTTCAGGGTGCTGACCTCGGTGAGCGGCCACGGGTAGTGGGGCCGGCCGGGTGGGCGGTGTCTCAGCCCGCGGCGGGAGGGACCCGCCTGTGCTGCCGCTGCTTCCCCTGGGCCGCCGTGCTGGCTTGTTCTGGGGAAGACCGGGTTCGGGCCGATATCTTCTTCGGCCGCTCGGCTGGGGGAAAAGGGAGAGACAGGCAGTTCTTGGGGGTGCTTGGGGGTTCTCTGGGGATGCCCGGGTAGTCGCAGACCCATCACGGTGAGGCAGCATCCCCAGCATCTCTGCTGTCTCTGCTCCCCGAGACTGGGACTGAAATCTAATTAGTTACTCGTGTCGTGGCTGACACTGAAGAACTTCCCTGGGTGGGTTGTACATAAACTGCCAAGGAGCAGTGAAGCAAATGGAAAGGTTTGTTAAGGCTTAAAATGTAGAAAGTTAAGTCTTAAAATCTGTAGTCTTTAAAAATTGTCTATTTGAAAAGAGATTTTACTCTTTAGCAGGATCTGTACTTCATTATACTTCAACACATGGCTGACAAATCTGTTTTTAATTACTTTTTTTAGGTGGAAATGGGCATGAAGAATCATGAAATAGTTCCTGCTAGCTTAATTGCTTCCATTGCCAGCCTTAAGCATGGTGGCTGTAATAAAATTTTGAGAGAGTTGGCAAAGCACAAACTTCTGGCTTACGAACGAACTAAAAGTGAGTTTAAATTTTGTGTTGGACTCCCTTTCTTAATCCTGTCCCCAGTGCCTCACAGTGGTACCTGCCCAACAGGTTAGGATGTAAGAGTGCCCTGAGTGGTTGTTTTTCCTTCTCTTGGACTCAGCTTGGAAATGCGGGTTGGTGCACCAGATGTCGTGTCTGCTTGTATCTTTAGAAGTGAGAGACAGATAAAAGATGAACAGTTAACTTTCTTTTTTGTTAGGGTAAGGTAAAAATAATCACCTCCTGAAGCAGTTTTCAAGTGCATATAGGAATCAACCCAAGTGAGTGATATCCTCACAGTTCTGAAACAGACTGCACAATCCTTGGGCATTTCACTGCCTCAGGAACAGCTGCTAAAGGAGTATTTATTATCTGCCATATGACAAGGATGTGCAGGCCTTTCTCCATTCCCTCCAAGCTTTTAGTTGGATCTGGCCCTGTGAAGACAGTGGGGATGTCTATAGGAAATACCTCTCCCTTTTGTCCCAGTTCTTCAGGTGACTGAGGGTTGCTCCAGTCCAATTTAAATATCTTCACCATTCAGTCACATGGGGCTGGTAAGAGCCAATGGCTGAAACATTACTTGGGTCTTATGTACTACAAAAAGCAAGACTAAATTGAAATTTATTTTAAATGTGATATATGCATAACAAGGAGTGAAATGTATTTTATTTTTACCCAGCTGTCCAGGGTTATCGGTTAACTAATGCAGGATATGATTACCTGGCTCTGAAAACGCTCTCTTCCCGACAAGTCATCAATTCTGTGGGGAACCAGATGGGTGTTGGCAAAGAATCAGGTAAACTCAAATAACGTTTAATTATTTTTTAAAACAAACACATCTGTAATACTGCAAATATCTTGCTAGAAACTAATGGAGTTTTCCTCTGGGCAGGCAGATCAATTAATCTGTCAAACACCAAGATGTGTTTGAACATAGTATGTTCAAGTGCTCTGTGGGGCTTCTGGCTACATTTGAGTATTTTTTTACAACAGTGTTACTGCATTTTGCCCAATTTGTTAGTTTCTTAGTTCATTTTTTTAAAAGGTACTTTGCAGACAGATGCTGCTTGTGTTGTGCTGAGTTTCATTTAGGAAAAAGATAATTTCATCTTTTTCATCCCACTTAAAAATAAGGTAGTAAAGTAAAATAAGCTCAAAACTATCAGAACACTATCTTGGTTCCTGTTATGTTCATATAGTTTGACACAGAATGTGACTTCTGTAATTGGAGACAGCAATTATATGGGACAAATGCTAGAAATTAAGTTTAGGGTATTTTTTAACACTGAATTAGGAGTCTTGTCCCTTGAGTTGTCAGTCCATTCATCAGGAAGGAGGAGCTCTTCCAGGATGTGGTTAAGAATACCAGAGCACTGAAAGATACTTCAGATCTCATCTGCTTTGTTCTATTGGAGTACCATAAACTCTTTAAAAGTAATTTCTTCATCTGCCTTTGCTAAAACTTTTGGGTCAGAAAGGGTGAGGAGTGAGGTAACAAACCTTCAGTGCACTTTTTCATCTGGCTTGTTAGATGTGTTTAATTACTTAGGTCTGTGCTGTTATGTATTTTCTAGATATTTATATTGTTGCTAATGAAGAGGAACAACATTTTGCACTGAAGTTACACCGGCTGGGGAGAACTTCCTTCCGAAATCTGAAAAACAAACGTGACTACCACAAGCACAGGCACAAAATGTCCTGGCTGTACTTGTCCCGGATAGCAGCAATGAAGGAGTTTGCCTACATGAAGGTAGGTGGCCACTCACACAGAGCCAGCAGTGGTGGGACAGATTGGAAGATGCCTCTCAGGCTGTCTTTTGATCACTTTGTGTTTGCCGTACTGGTCGGATTTATGCTTAATTTTTTCTCTCCCCTGATGGACTTAAAGTATACATTTCATGAAGTTTCAATGCAACATGCTTTGTATACTTCCCAGTGCTAAAATTAAATTTAGCTGTTGAAATCACATGGAATAGATTCAGGTATCATGAGAGAGAATTTCAAATTAATGATGTTATTTATGGATAGATAATATATATATATCACCAGTTCTGCAGTTTTTCCTTCAATCTTCATTGCATAAGCTAGGAAGCAGTTGTCATTTCTTAAAATTAACCTGCTTTTTTATTTTACCAAGCTTTCACTTGTTGTTGTGCTGTTGAGGGAAATCTTTCAGATCAAAACTAGTGTTTTGATCTTAAAAGACACACTTAGTTCTGTGCTGTGAGAAAAGATTTCATTATACTACTAATCCGGAATTCTGTGGTTTCTTACCTGCTTAAAAAAACCACAAATATTGTATAGGGATGAAAGATGTTATCTGAAAACTAATTATTAATAAAAACCTAGTGTTCATTTCTCTTTTTGTGTTATTCAGGAGTAAGATATATATGAAATTATCTTCTCGTTCTTTTAAAAAAATAACCATGATGAATTGTCTCAATGGCCTCCACAGACAGACAAAGAACTAACACCTCTGTCCAGGTGGTCCTGCTGGTAAAGCCTTATGTGGTCAGAACTTGTAGGTATATAATTGTGGGGGTCAGTTTCCCTGAGCAGAGGATTGAGGGAGGTTTAATTGAGTGCTGAAAATCAGTATTAGCTGAATTAAGTGCTGAAAAGCAGTAATACTGAAGTAACAAAAACTGCATTTGTGTTGCTATAACTTAGGACTCTCTAGAAAACTTCACTTGTAACAACAGAATGAGTAAAAACAGAATGAACCCATTAAAAAGTTGAGTGAATCTAGTGAATGACTAAATTTGTGCTAGAAAATACAAACAGGAGAGCTTCAAAATATTATGACCTACCTTTGGGTAATCTTCAGTATGGTATAAAGCTGATTATTACTGTTTAGGAATGAACTTGTGTTCACACACACAAGCAGGCACATACTTGTGTTTACAGCAACTGAGCATAGGTTGACTAATCAGGCTGGAGTGTATTGGCAGCAGCTTAGTGTAGACTTGTTTCTAATGCCGTTTCCCATTTCTATTACTGATTCCACAGGCTAATGTACCAGGTAAGGTTCTGTCATTTCTCCAGTCTGTTGTGATTTTCTTCCAGTTGCAAGACAACTAAGCTGTAGGCAGTGCACTCAGTGTCTAAACTTGTGAAATGTATTGTCTTTGCAGTGAGAGTTCCAGTGGCTGGGAGGCTGTTTTCCTTCCTAGGCATGTGATTAGGGCATTATATGCTGCTATCACAATGATACATACTTCTTATCTTACATGTGGGTTTGTCAATATATGTAATGTTTTCCTTAACTATTTAATTTTAATTTTTCAATGTGTTGTGTTTTCCAGGCTTTGCATGACAGAGAATTTCCTGTTCCAAAGCCCATAGACTACAACAGGCATGCCGTTGTTATGGAACTTGTTGATGGATATCCTTTGTAAGTAGTGAAGCTTGAATTCTCTGTTTTACAGAGATCCTGACAACCTTAGAGGAAGTAACAGGGTTGGGATTTTTCCTTGTTTTCTACACAGAAATTGCATATTCTATATGTTACTTTGCATATAGAATATTGATATTACTGATGTTCTGAGCTCCACTTTGTGATCCTTGCTCTGTTAATACAGGTGAGTTTGTTACTCACTTCTGCACTGTTTATATAGACTACCACATGTAATCTGATTTTGCACCTTTGAGAAAGAATGTTTTGCTTGAGTTTTCCAATCTCTAGAAACATTAAATATTATTGAGGTTTGTAGATGAAGGGTTAGTTTGGTTTTGAATGCAAAAGGCCTGTCTCTTTCACACAATAACACAGGTCTAATCCAGAGATTTAAAATGTCTAGTTATAGAACAAACTTGTCCATTCTCTTGTAAAGGATTCAACATCCTGACTTTAATCAAAAGGGAATTAATTCCAAAGTAAAACAGCTGAAGAATAATATGGAAAAGACTTCCCACCCTCATTTATTAAATCCACATCGATTTTGTAAAGAGAGCTTCAAGTTCCTTGTGGCAGTCTGCAATGGAAGTTTAATTTTTCTTCTTTTCCTAACATAATCTAGAAAATATGATTTTATAAAAGAAAATG